AAAAATAAAATTTTACAAAAAAATAAAAATATATGTATTATACTTAACATTTTTCAAAAGTTTAGATGGCAACTTATTTATTCTAACTTGTGTAGACAAACATTCCGTTAGTGTAGTTAATGAAATTAACAAAATATTTGTAAGGTAAATCATTTTGAAATAAAATTGATAATTTATAAATTATTTTTAAAAAAATTATTTTTAAACTAAACTGAAAAAAATTATATAGTAAATAGATTATTTATTAAATTTAATTTTTTTTTTTATTTCTACAAAAATAATTTTTGGCATGTATGACGCAGACACACGGATTACATCTCCGTTCGACTCAACGCATTCTTCTCATTTTTTATTTCTACAAAAATAATTTTTGTCGTCTATGACGCAGACACACCGATCACGGATTACATCTCCGTTCGACTCAACGCATTCTTCTCATTTTTTTAGGGCTGGGCATTTGGAAACCAATCCGATGGGTTACTTAGAAACTGAATCGAAAAAGAATTCGATTTGATTTCAATGGTTTTTTATTTTTATTATTTTAATTGAACATTTTAAAAATAAAAAATAAAAAATAAGCTTCTGAAAATTAAAATTAAGATAAATATGATAAAATATAAATAAAATATAATATATTATTAAAAAATAATTAAGTAATGTTTATTTAATACAAATTAAAACTGAACCGCTTTTATTGATAATTGAATCTATTGGTTTGTGAAAAATTTGATGCCATTTCGGTTCTTAAAATAAAAAAAAAAAATTTCAGTTATTTTAAAATTAATTTTGATTTCAACCGGAACCGATTTTTGTCCACCTCACATCTTTTATTTCTACAATAATAATTTTTGTCGTGTATGAAGCAGACACGGATTACATCTCCGACTCAACGCATTCTTCTTATTTTTTATTGGCTTAAGTATTAGAAAAGGACCCCAATTTTTACTAAATTCTTAATTGAGGTCCTCAACGTTTATTATACTCAATCAAGGTCTCAAACTCATGCAAAGTCTCAAATAAGGACCCAATTGGATGGAATCCTAACCATCCCTTAAGTCTAACATGACGCCCGTTATGATCTGTTACAGCCCTCAGCATGTGGCATGCCGACTGGAGATAAAATAAATTTACTCCAGACACACGCACATGTGGATCAAAAGAGTATATGATTTTAAGATAAAATAAATTATAAAATAAATTTTAAAACAATATACTCAAGTTTTAAAATTAATTTTTTAAAATAATATTAAAAAAACACACACACACACATCCAAATTTTCTCAAGACAAATTTACTTTTTAAATTAGTTGTGGGCCAAACCAGTTGCTCTGCTCTGCATTCTTGACAGGGATAGAAGCCCGCCATACCCATATATGAATATAAATCCTTCTCGCTCATCACAACAGTATTTCAAGTTCAATTTCCTTCTTTGTTTGATCTTTTCTAAACTTCCTTTGCCTTTTAGCCATGAGGGAAGCTGCGGTAGGGCAACTTTCACTTGCAAGTTAGCTAAAATTATTGACTGAGAGTATTTGAATTAATTGTTTAAATATAATTAATAGTTAATAATTAATATTTGATAACTATCATAATTTTTTAATATTATGAGACTAGTGATTGACCGTTGGATGGGCTGGTGTTAGTGGCAAAGAAAGGCTAATAGGAAATCAATAGCACCAAACAAGAAAAGAAGAAGATCTGGCTACTCGCGAAGAAGAAGAAGCAGATCATGATGGAGAAAGGTCGGTTGTTGGGCGGAGAACAAGAAGAACTCGCACGGAGAGAGGCTGGCTACTTGGCGAAGAAGAAGAAGTAGATCTTGCGTGGAGAAAGGTTGGCTGCTCGGTGAAGAAGCAAAAGCAGATCTTGTGTGGAGAAAGATCGACTGCTTGGCAAAGAAGAAGAAGCAGATCTTGCATGGAGAAAGGTCGGCTGTTGGGTGTAGAAGAAGAAGAACTTGCATGGAAAGAGGCCGGCCATTGGGCAGAGAAGTTGTAGGGATGGGGTGGGCTACTATTGGGCGAAGAAGAAGACCCTGCACAGAAAAGAAACAAACCGAAACTTCTAGGGATTTTGCCCCCAAATCGTGGAGTGGGAAGGAAGAGGAGAGATGGGAGAAAAATGAGGAATGTGGGATTACAACATGGCACGTCCGAGAATACTTTTTATTGTCTAGTTGGCATGCCACGTATTCATGGGTAACGGATTATAACCGACGTCATGTTAGACTTAACAAATAATTAGGATTTCGTCCAATTGGGTCTTTATTTGAGACTTTGCATGAGTTTGAGACCTGGATTGAGTATAATAAGCATTGAGGACCTCAATTGAGAATTTGATAAAAGTTGGGGTCCTTTTCCAATACTTAAGCCTTTTTTATTTCCACAAAAATAATTTTTGTCGTGTATGGCGCAGACACACGGATTACAACTCCGTTCGACCCAACGCATTCTTCTTATTTTTTATTTCCACAAAAATAATTTTTTGTCATATATTCATGCCAAATTCTTTTCCAACATATTTTTAGTATTGAAATATTATTTTTAATTAAAATAAAAAATATTTATTTTTAACAAAAATAAATAATTATAATATCACATGTATTGTAAATTTCTAATAGATTTTATAATTATATAATTAATTTTTTTAATAAAAATTCACACATAATATTATACATAATTATTTATTTAATAATATGTCATATTTATTTAATATTATATTATAATCATAATCTTATAATATTATATAACATTGTAATTTAGTATTCATTCTTAAAGAAACGTCTAGACCAATGAAACCTTACCAATACAATATCTTTTCATTTTTGAAAGCGATAATTACGTGGTTAATATTAACATCGGCTAAGGAAAGGAGAGTTTGTGAACCACATCTCACTGGGGTGTCATTACTTTTCTTTTCAAAAAGAAGCGTGTGGCCTGGACCACGCGGGTGGACGGACAATCATGTGATATCCCAAATTTCATTTTGAGAAATAATATAGTGTGTAACTGGTATATATGGGTGAAGTCAACAATCTACTAATTAATAAGAACTCCATTCCCTCGACCTGATTTTCTTCTTCTTCTT